TGAACTGTTAAGTGCCTTGAGATGACATGTGTTGTGAATTGGCGCTATAGAAATAAACTGAATTAAATTGAACGACGGGTGCTCTCAGCGGACATTTTTAACCTTTTAAATATCTGGTGGGACCTTCAACAAATCATAGATAAAACTCTGAACGTTCTGGAACATCATGGCGGCTATTCCGATAAACTGATGCAGAACTCACTTTGACCGTGTTGCCAAACTTGGAGTAGTCCACCGAGTACACGCCCTCCTCCTCCGTGACGATGGGAACAAAGCGGTGACCCCACTGGATCTCCTCAGACACGTAGGAGGTACGGGCTTGGGTGGTGATGCCTGTGGTCTCCACAACGCCCTCTAGAATGACGATCACCTCCAGGTCGCTGCACTGCAGCTCCATGGCTGACAGGTCGTACAGCGGGCTGAGCGAACCACATTTACAGGTTGGAGTCAAAAGCTCATTTTTCCAGCATTTAAAACATGTAAATATGGTTAAACGAGGCAGGAATATACATCACCAGTTCCACAAAGTAAACCATAAACTGCCAGATAGATTAACAACATATAAAGAGAAGCATTTTGAGCCTTTAATGCTTTAAAAATTCAGCAAAAAGATCCAATCCTTTCCTGAACCTCAGATGCCATCAGCTTCTATCCTGGGCTGATGTTATTCGCCCCGCCATCCTTCTCTCTATTCCATCTCCTCACATTGTAACGAAGGTTGGCTAAAGCCCACCAACCCCCACCCATCCTCACCACTTTCTACAGAAGCACCATAGAGAGCGTTTTAACCAGCTGTCTCACTGTGTGGTGTGGAGGCTGCAGCGCCTCAGACTGGAAGAAGGTGAGAAGAGTTGTGGGAACAGCAGAGAGGATCATTGGGGCTCCTCTTCCCTCCATAAAAGAGATTTCATCCAACGTAACAAATTACTCACCTAATTCACCTGCCGTTCCCTCCAGGCGCTCTAAATATTATTCATCCACCTGTTTGGTCTGCTTTGGACACGGTTCAGCCCAGCTATCGGGGCCAGATCATTATTCTTAGTTTTTCTAGTTAGTTATTCATGTTTGTTTGTTTTTGAGTTAAGTCCCTGATTCTTGTCCTAACTCTTGGGGGCCTGTGGGTCGAGAGGGTAGTTGTCTCCTGATTGTGTCCCGGCTGTTCTCCGCTGAGCCCTCAGGGTTTTGGGCCGGAGTGTGGAGGAGGCCATTTTTAACCCCAGTGATCCTGGCTAGAGCAGGGAATATTAGCCCGAACCCGACGGGACCCGAGAGGTCCTGCCGGGTTCGGGCGGGTTCGGGCTGTACTTTTTATTATTTCAGCCGGGCCGGGCTCGGGCTTTAAACCGTTATATGCGCGGCAAATAAATGATCATGTGATAACGTTCGATCTATACGCGATGAATG